ACTATTGGTTCCATTTATTCTAGATTTCCACCCTTAAAGAACAGTGTTATGAATTTTAGGGTTATGAGAGTGCAATTACCATAAACCCTTAACCCTAAATTAATAAATTATATTTTCACTCCTAAATTAGTAGAATTACAAAACTTGCCATTTATTTTTAAATTATATCAAAACACCTCGATCACTATACACCCTCACTGGAAACAGCCTGATCTGGGCTGTTTCCGATGACGTCGAACCCCCGGCCACCTCCATCACCTTCCCTATAGTCCGTCGTCAAAACCCTCTGGTTCTGACTCATTTACCTCTCCAATCGTTGGCACCGTTAAGCTTAGGGTTCGGTGTTCTTACCGGATTCCGGTGGTGAAAATCCAATTGGACACCACCAATGCAACCACCGTCCCTAATCTATAAAACCCTATGTCCCTAGCAACCGTTTCGTCGTCATTCGCCAGCCGAGAGTTCGTGTTCATCAACCATTTTTCGTTGTCGTGGCGGAGATCGGCGAGTATGATAGGGGTTTGAATTGTATGGTTTTGTAGAGGGAGGATGAGGGTTCAAATGGTGGTGACAAAGGTGATTTGGGTGGAAGAATCGCCGAAAAAGAGCGAAAAACGTTGGAATGACGGCTGCTAATGTGCGTCGAAGGACTGTTAGAGGGGTGGTCTGCTAACGTGTGCCACCCATATAAAATGACCAATTTACCCCCTTACCGTTACATCAAACGTTTTTCCGTCACTTTAAGGATGAGAATTTGGAATAAATGGAACCAATGGTACTAACTTGGGATTTCATCAAACCTTGGGTGGGAATATATCTTTTACTCCCAATCTATAATAAAAACATGAGAGTTTTAAAGTAAACACTAAGAGGGTTTGTCTAAGCTTATAAGCTGGTCAAACTAGCTATAAGCTCTAAAATTAAGCTGACCTGTTTGTTTATAACATTTTTTAGTTTAAGTTAAGCTTATAAGCCAAAAAAAATAAGTTGGGGGGGAGGTACTTTTTTTTTTGGGCTTATAAGCACTCTGCTTATAAGCTAGTTTGACCAAGTATATTACCACATATCCTTGTTTAATTTAAAATTCCTAGTATAACCTTGTTTAATGTAGTATCTTTCAAATGCTTATAAGCTAAAATTAGCTTATAAGCACTTGTTGCTTATAAGCTTATGAAAAGTGCTTATAAGCTAATTTTCATAAGCTTAGACAAACACCCCCTAAGTCTTGCAGCGGAAAAAAATATGCTCTGCCAATTTTCCTATGATGAAAATCAGGCATCAACATTTTTCATAATTTAGGCCAAAATGAGTTCTCAGTGTTTCATAAAAAATAGAAAATATAATTAGACAATTATCTTTTTGTTGGTTATTTCTATATCATAATAAATAAGTAATTAAATTTTTTAAACACCAATGAGCGTAATTAGTTTTATGATTTTAAGTTTCCCTTCATTTACCTAAGTTACAGATTACTTCTACTCAACCTGAAGTGGTAAATATTTTTGGTCTTACTTTTTCTTAAGGGAGAACAACATTTTCAACCCAAGGTTTGGTGCAACACTTTTCCCACCCGTCAAATTTCAAAATGACTATTTCCACCCTTTGTTAGATTATGTTAGTGTTTTCTGCTAATATTAATTGAAAAGACAAAAATACCCTAAATAGTTTATTTCTTATTAGTTTATTATATATTAAATTTGGTTATTCAAAGTCTTTACTTGATTATTATTCGTTCAAGTGTAAATTTTTTTTCCTTCGTATTATTAATTTGGAATATTGTTTTTTTATGTTAATTAGTAAAAATTAAAAACATATGAATATAGTAGATTATTGAATAATAGTGATGAAATATGATGACATTATAAATAATAAAACATTTAACTTAATAATTTGGTAGCATTACTCTAACTTTTAGACAATGTTAATTTATTTTTATTTTTTTAATATTTGATTATTTGACTAATAAAAAATAATGAAAAATTTATAAACAAATATTAAGAGTATTTTTATATTTTTAATAAAATTAATAAAAAACATAACAAAACCTAATAAATGATGGAAAGTGCCATTTTTAAACTTGAAGGGTGGGAAAGTTGGTGGCCAAACCTTGGTGGAACACGTCGTTGCCTTTCTTAATTATGATGATCTCATCAGCTTCCTCTGTTAGGAGTTTCAATTTTCAATAATAATTAATAACTTCCTTAAATCATTTCAGACTCTTGGATCCCCCACCCCACCCCCCCACCCTGCTGATACGTTAAATTCTCGATAATTTCCATCTATAAATAAAACGCTTCAAAACTCTCTCTCACACACACACAACACACACAACACAAAATGGCTAAAATTATCATCACCACCTCCCACTCTAAGCTCTTCTTCCTAACTCTTCTCCTGCTTTGTCCATTGCGTCCATAACCGAAGCTCGACCATTTTTGAGAACAGTAGTAGGTCAAGCCTGTCTGGCTCGACTCAAACTGGATAATGAATCATCGAGCTGTGGACTCTTTGACACAGCTTCAATCTTGCTCCGGCGAGCTTATAATGTTCTTTCTTAATGGGGAGACTAATCTCGGCCCTGGCTGCTGCCAAGCCATACGAACCATTAGTCACCAATGCTGGCCAGCCATGATCGGCACGCTAGGGTTTACCGCTGAAGAGAGTGATGTGCTTCAAGGTTACTGTGATAGTGAACCGCCACATGGGCGCCGTCGCGGAGGCTGCTAGTGCTAGGGTGGTTGAGCAGCGCAACAGCTTCTTTCTATGGACTTGGTTCCTTAGAATAGTAATTTGCTTTGGTAATCATAATATAGTTTTACATGCAAAATAATAATAATAATAAAGGGTTGAGTTATATCAGTTTCTTATTATTAAAATTTTAAGTTCTAATTATATAATTGTAGCTTTTTTATAGTAATTTTAAATTGAGTGAATAATTTATCATTTATGAACCATCATTAAGTTCCTCATTAGTTGTTAATAGGGATAGTTGTTGAAGGTTATATCTGACTGATAATTTCAGAGTCCTAAAAATTAATTAAAGTGTGTGTAAATTGACCGAACACCTCTATCATTCAAAAAAAAATGAAATAAAAATCAATACGTTCAAGTTTAAAAACTTAATTGCTATGGATGCTTCTTTTGGGCCGCCAAATACTGACGGGAGCGTTGGTTGTCCGCGAAATTGATCTGAATCGAATAAGCTTCAACAAGTGATAGAGAAATCTCGACAAAGTAAAATAACTTCTCCAAAACTCTGTGATGAAATAATTTTTGCTATTGCTGTATTACTTGTAGTTCTTCAAAGAAAAAAAAAAATGATTGGTATCAAACAAAATTTTTAAAAATAAAATAATATATCTTAATATTTATATTTGATATAATCTTTAAAACGGTTTTCATATTAAAAACTATGGAAAGCTTGTGAAAACAACTTTCAATGATTATATGTTCTAATTTTACACTAATTTTTATAATTGTATCTGAAACTGTTTTCGAAAACAGTTTAACTCATTTCTAATGAAAAAAAGAAAGCAAAAGTGGAGGAATCTAAAGCAGCAGATGCCAGAATATCCAAACAAGAAAACAAAAAGAAGAATGATTGATTCGGTGAAGTGGGTCACTAACTGGGTTTGGAGTGACAAGAACCTGCAATTTCAAATCTCATCTCCAATCTTCACCAGATTTTGAGCCGATAACATTAAAATCCCAACAGGAAAAATAAGATACAAGTGATCTCTTACGTATATATATACTGTGAAATGTAATGAAATCGACAATTCACGGAATCAATCTATCTATGTAAAGCTAATTTAGTAAACATATATAAGACTCTCACAAGTAAAAATTGATGTTCAAGCTGAGGTGATTCGTCTTAAGCGAAAAACTCAAAGGTTAATTTAGGGTCAAATGGTAATCAAAAAATCAACTACTTTGAATATAGAAGGGTAAATCTGAGTGGGGTTTATCTTTGCTTAATGGGATAAGATATAATGATTATTAATGCAGGAAATTAAAGTGGCTATACCTAACATTCAAATGCTGGCCATAATATTAAGGTGCTATTAATTAATTGGTGAGGTGTTTTGTATATATTTGTATTATTAATTTATTACGGCCACTAAATTAAAATTGGGTTCATTTTATTTGGTAAAATGACATGATGTCTGTTTCTGTTTTAATAATAATAATATAATCTCACTAACACTTCTCATTAACCTTAGTGACAACTGCAATTTCCATCAATCATTGCAATAAAAGTCATATGACTCTTTCCACCTTTTTTTTAATATTTTATTATTTATTTATTATTCTCTGATGCGAACGTTTTGTTTTTTTTTTCAAAGTGTGTATCATAATAGGTTGTAATTAAGTATTAGCTTGATTTGTATTTTATTCAGTTAACAATTGATCATAATCCTCAATAATGCACTTTAGAAATTAGGGTATCCATGGATATACTTTTAGGGTGTGTTTGGTTCTGACAATGTTATTACCAAAAGATGTGAGTATCAGTGAACAAATATGTTAAAGATTAATGGGTAAATTATTGTTGTGTGGTTCCTAGTAACTTATTTTGTTAATTATTGGTCTATATACGTATTACTACTATCATTTATTTTTAAAAGTTAAATTATCATTTTTTTTTAAAGTTGACTAAATTTTGTTGTAAGCTAAATATATAGTAAATAATGAAAATGGGCATGCCTTTATATATAAAGGTTATTAATATAGTAATTGTGATTATTCATTTTACTAGTGGAATGATGAAACGGGAATGAAGTAAAATATTTATATAACAAAACATCTGAAATATCATTATATATAAACATCACATAACAAAGGGCAAATGCTCAAATCACCCCCAGTAGAGCACTCACAAAGTGACCCAAACACACAGAATTATTTAGGGCAGTTGCTTACTGGTACAAAACGTACATACATACGTAATTAACAAACAAAATAACACAAAATACAGAAAATTAACAATAATTAGTTCACTAAGCAAGTAGCAAAACACTTAAAAGAGATGTGGTGGTGCTTCTTGCCATGAGCCTCTTCATCTTCCTCCTTGGTCCTCTTCTTCTCATGGTGCTCATGAAAGGCAATCCTCCGGCTCCAACAGCAGCCGCCGCAGCAATCTCCTCCTCGATCCTGTCTTGTCGTGGCATGCTCTGGGTCCTTTTCTCCTTGTGCTTCTCATGCTTAAATATTTTCAATATACACACAATCAGTCATCAAATAAATCATACAATTTTTACTGTCTCTTTTCGCAGAGAGAGAATGAATATTGTTTCAAATTATCAATCAAATTAAACTTAAAGAAAAAAAGAAGATATGAAGTGAAAAATATCATACCAAAAGCCGAGCTTGAGAACAAGTGTGGGAGATTTCTGAATTAGAGAAAAAAAAAAAAAAAAAAAAAAAAAAAAAAAGAAAGATAGTGAGTGGAAAGTTATTTATACCAAAGCGTAAGCACCGGCTGCAGCAGTTTCCGAGCTCGCTAGGTGGCTCAAGATGCTGTGTGTGCTTCCCTCCTTCTTGTAATAACGCCTCCTTCCGCTGATCACCATAGTCAGACCGCGGAGGCACCTGCCGTAGCAGTCTCGGAGTAGCTGTGTTCCCGCCAGTACCGTAGCATTATCCGGAGTAGGGTGGTTTCCGTCGCCACCGTAAGCATTATCACTGCTGTAGGCGTGGTCTCGGAGTAGACGGCGCCTTCGTCGACCGGCCTGTCCTCGTCCTTGTTGTGGCGGCCGAAGAGGTGGTGGTGGTGGTGCTTCTCCTCAGACATGGTGAAGTAAAAGTTTGATTGCAAAGAGTAATTGATACAAGAAATTTTACAAAGAATATAAAATTAAAAGAAATTTGAGTTTTGGTGTGTGATCAAGCTGGGAAGTGAGGGTATTTATAAGCGTTGGTGGGAAAATTTGTAAATATTTTTCTTGCTATCGTGTAAAGTTTGTGACAATAATATTTATTTGTGTGTTATTTTTTAATTTTAGAAATCCGAAATGACAAACCGTGTCGATTGGATATTAATAGACCACTAGAACTTTTTGTGTGTTATATAAACCACATGAGATGGGGGACAACCTTTTCGGTGGTTAATTGTTATATATGCATTTTTTGGGCTTATTATTGTTTGCAATTGGTGGATGATATTAATTTTTTATCTAATGTAATAAATATCCAAGTAAATCAGTTAATAAGTGTTTGATTATAATATATTTGACGCGTGAAATAAACGTGTTTCTTTTAAGAGTTTGTAATAGGTTAATTTTATGCTTCTTGAGAAGTATCGTTATATCTAAAGGTCACAACTAGTTTATGTATTTTTATATTGGGATTTGATATTCAATTGATTTTTATAATTTTTGAAAATCATTAATTTACTTTAAACTAACTATCTTTGGTATGTTTACTGTTGTGCATGATTTTCCGATGGCCAGTTCGTGCCACCTGTTTAGATAACTATCAGGATCTAGCAGCTAGAAACTTAGAATTGTCTCACGTGTCGCTCTCATAACAAATACTTCACAAAAAACTCATCAAGGTTAAGCATGGGTGTTTAGACTTAAATATGGGTAGATGGCTGACTCAGATCCAGATAGTGGGAATTATGCGTGTAATCCGCCTTGTAAATCAACCCCTAACCAATGTTAGTGGTGTGCATAAAAGGGAGACACCACCTTCATTTTGGGGGATCTATTATTTATACTAGCACAAGAAACACTTAGGAAGAGTCTTAGCTGTCATTACGTGTTTTCCTTCTTGTAATCACCAATGTGTATAAGGCACACATAAGTAATAATATAATAATGGACGTTGGTTTTGGTTCTAACTCGTCGAATTACTTTAAAAGTCTATTTGTTCTTGCATTATAGATACTCTAATCTGATTATCTATGATCACGTATAACTCCTATTCAATTCTATCGTAGTTGACTGATACTCTGATTGCAAGTTTTTGTAACATCTGCGGAGTTGACTCTGTTTTAACTGTGAAGTTTTAATGGTGAAATCAAAGAATTTATATTATTTGTAATACTTCACACATGCCAAGATAGTGATAGTGGGCATTTTGCCTGGAATTTCGCATACAATGTATCATCTGTGTTTGAAAATCGCAATTATATTATTGTTAAAGTATCAATATTATTTTTGATACATACATAATTTAACGCATAATAAATTGTTATAAAATTTGGCCTATAGAAGTAGCGTACTTCAATTTAATTATTAAAAATCAATCCCGTACGCTAAATTAATTTACAGTGTTGTGAATTATTATTAATAAAATAAAGAAAGAAAAAAGGTTAAATTTATCCATCCGTGAGTGATGACTGATGATTAAGTGAATTTTACCCAAACAATATTGAATCTCATAAATGGGAGAATCGACCGGTCTAAAAGGTACCATGTGTTGCATGTAAAGTGTTTGAAGACTTTTGCAACCAATACTTTCGTAGTATTAAATTACAATTTAACACAGGGGACGTGAATTTCAATCAGATTTTTTTTTCCTAAAAAAAGGAAGGTTTATAAAGTTAGGCTGAGATTGCTCCATTTTTTTCGCTTCACATTTCATATGATGGCTCATGGCCGGTGGTAGGGTCTTTTGCAATGGCAGTTGGGGTTTCTGTCGGCAAGACTCAAGACTAATTCTTCCTTTAAATTTACTTAAATTAAATAATATTAAATAATAATATTGTATATACAAAGTTTTTTATATAAATTTTTACATTAAAACTATTGTACCGCAAAAGTTGATTAAAATAATTGGTTACAATATCTCACGTAGTTAATGAATGAATTTGAATTCATTTAAAATGTTGATGGAAACTCAAAATGGGTATATGTATGAACTAGTTTAAATCAAACAATATCCAATTAGATATGAATGTGGATAATAAAAAAAAAATTTATATATCATCAACTTATACGAGAAGCATATATACCTAATAGTAAGTGATTCATACTTTTCCCTTTTTTCTTCGACTACAATTTGATTAGGTGTTGATTAATTCATTAAATTGAGTAATTCATGTAAACTCTTTTTTCGAATATTTAAATATATATATATATAATTTTTATAATTTATAAGATAAAGAATACAGTATCTTTCAAGTTTCGACATGATAGAATGATTCGGGTTGTTGTATTTTAATAACTGTTTTTTCTAGTGTGAAAATATAAATTCCCCTAATCTATAATGTAATTTTTTTTTTAAATTTAGTTTTGTTTGTTTGTATTCATCAATAGCTAGATGTCCCCTACGTTAGTGTGGGATAACATGAGGTCTTGAGCAAAGATAAGATGTCAATATCATTTATGTGTAATAATGTTACCACAATTAAAGTGGACCCCATCAAAAGATATATATATTTTGAAAATTTCAAAAAAATAAAAACAATCCAATAACAAATTAAAAAAAAAACAAAACGTAAATGTTATAAAAATATGCTGTTTGAAATAAGTAAGAACACATTTTCAATGGTTTCAATCTGAAAATAAACTTTGAATATTACGTTAAAGTATTTTAAAATTGAATTATTAAAATACAATTAAAAAATTCTAAATATTTTGGAAAACAAATAATTGATCCTAAATTTATATAAAAAAAAAAAAAACCATAGAATATGACATTGGATTTGTAATTTCAATGTTAAACAAAATTTACAGAAAAAATAATGAAAAATTATCCAAATAATTAACGGTATTATGTCTTGTAATGAACCCACAAAGTTGGGAGGTGGAAGTATTTTGGGGTACGTGTACAGGTTTGTGAGGCATTTTAAATACGAGAGTTTAGACTTGGATTGGGGTAACAAAGTACGGGCCCCATTTAACCAAGATCGCGTGGCCACGTTTATATTCGGGAAAACGATTGACAGCTAATGGCTAGTGGGGCTGGGACCCCCATAAGCTTTGTGTCGTTGATAGATTGATCAAAGTGTGGCAAGTAGAATGCCGACACGTCTAACTGCTAGTCAAAAGTTTTGATCATAATTTGTTTATTTGTGTTTCGTGCGATCTGGTGAATGTAGATGGATAAGTGGGCTATATCACAATTATGAGATTTTATTTTTCGGTAGTGGGTGGTAGGGTGAGCCCATTGCCATGGAGTTATTACGTTGCTCGGGTAACCTTTTTTTCACGGTATCTAATGGACATTGGTTTCTTCAATTTAGAGCACCAAAGGTTTTACTCCCTTTATTTGCCTTTTAGGTTTGGGATAATTACTATATTTACTATTTACCTTAGGACATAAGGTTTATAAAGTGTTTAATAGATTTTGAGTCTTGAGATAATTTATCATATTGACTTATTTTGAAAGATTAAGTTTATATTTTGAAAGATATTCAATAAGCTCCAAAGATTATTTGAGAATGTGCATAAACTAGTCAGACACCTTGTTATAAAAAAAAAAAAAAAAAAAGATTTTAGTATATATATTTGGGTCTTTTGATGATGTCTTTTAAATGTCTTAAAGATAGACTCATACATTTATAATATATGCCTCATGAGATGCATCATTTTTATAAAGAATAAAGAGAGATTGACAAACGTTTTTCATAATTTTTTTTTATAAAAATAGTATAATAGTTCATAATTAATTAATTTATATTTGATTATGTGTGACTCATTATTGACAAACGAGATTTATTATGAGTTCATTAATTATGAATTGATATTTTACGTTTACAAAAAAAATTAATAAAAAAAGTTTGTCAATGTCGTCCCCCACCATTGTGCCTCCGTTACAGTTTATCTATTTGATAAAGAAGGCATGAGAACAGTCAGTAGCCCAGGCCCCATTGTTTTCATAGCTTTGATGAGGTGTCAATAGATCAGGCTAAAAATGCCAACAATGTTGGTGTTTTGTTAGTATTATTAATAACCTAATTCTTACAAAATTGTACAAGTGTCTCCAGTCCTGAAATTACAATAATTAGGCCAATTATTTTATCATTGATGTGATTGAAGTTATAAGTAGTTTAATAGTGCAACATGAAAATCAAGAAAAAATCTTCTACAGTGAAACACTAACTTTTTGAATCATGGAAAGATGTTCGTAATCATTATAGAGTGTTTGAACTTTGAATTGACTCCAATAAAATCTGATTTTATCGGTATATATTTCAAAATATGTGAATCAATTATGGTTGTAACCAGACGAAGAAAAAAGAAAATAAATACATAAAACAAGCGTATAAGTGACAAGTGTGTGTGTATATATATATATATATAATCAGGGTGTTCAAATCAATTTACATATATTTCAATTAATCATTCGAGATTCTAAAATTAACAACCGAATAAATTTTCAATGACCACTTCTATTAGGGGTTGAGGTAGATTAAACTTAAAACCTCTTGAATAATACATTCAAGAGTCATAATTAATCACTCAATCACCTAATAATGGTTCTTCACTCTACATATTTGTGAAGTTATCGATCTAATATACAGCAATGGCAAACTAAAATTCCAGAAGGCAATTCTAATTAACTAGGAAGACTCTTGGTTTTATGCACAGAAGCAATTCATACATGACATTTCGTCTCAATTTAGATTCTTTCATGAATCAATTATCTTCATCATATAAAACATTTGAATACGAGAAGCCAAATGGGAATACTCACCATAACATGTGCTTGCAAGATATCCTCCATAAAATAAACAATGAATACCAAGCAGAAAGATATTCACCCTTTCTTCATTCATATACCTCGGTGATTTCTTCCTGGAAATAATTTCCACAGTCCAACAGCATGAACCTTATTGGTTTT